TATCAGCATAGTCATTTTTAAAACACTTTGTGTCGTTGCCTTTTGTCTTGGAGGCTACAAACTGCTGGCTTTTTTTTGCTTTTTTTTCCTCCATTTTCCCAATTTTCCTCCAAGAAATGGGTCTCTTTTTTTGAAGCTATCGGTGTTTTGTGCTTCCCTTTATAGGCTTTCTGACCTAGGAGTTTCTGATCAACTTGGCAGAGATGATGTAATAGCATTCTGTCTGTCTTGTTACTAAAAGTCTCTGTGAACGGCTTACATCTCCCAGCACTGAAAAGCCCGTTACACTTTTATGAAATGTTGTACACAGGCTTTTCTTTTACTATTGTAGAAGCCCTGGAAAGCTGGCGCTCACTTCCAAGTATAAGTAGAGTAGACAACTGAATGAATTCACGAACCATTAACTTCACTTGTAACTTCCATGCTTTAGGCTGAGAAAAGCATTTACAGGATAATAAAGTACGAGATGGGTTTTGCACTTACTTATAAGTCAAAAGAAATAATACTTCTGGCTGTCTTCAAGAAAAAGTAAAAGTAACAAATCACTGAATTTCCTTGACAGGCAAGAAGTCAGGCAAAATGAAGTTCATGTCCTTCAAAATGAATGAGATACCATATTAATGTAAAGCGCAGAGTGGTAGCTTTAAGAAAAGCACTCTAAGATGGTGGACTTTTGCTTACATGCTTTTAAATAATGGTGTAATTCACTTGATTTCTGTGCACCTCAAAACTCAGATCTCTCATTAGTTTTTCTCCAGGCAGAAGTCATCGGGCGTGTTGTTCCACTGATGTACACTACTAAACATGATTCTTTTTCTCACTTGCATAAACATATGTCTATTACAAATAGTACGTCCTTCTGAAGGGAAAAGTGCAGGCTCACCTGGCACCTGCATGCTGCCATATTCAGTATAGTCTTGTCTGTGTGTCTGTCTCTTGCTGCAGATTCCTTGAGTTATTGCTTGGATGCTCACAGCGCCCCTTTTCCCTCACTCATACATCTTGTGGCATCCCAAATGCAAACTAGTCAGGGATACTTGCTACAGCCAATGTTCTTTTGTCTTTTAGGCTAAGAACCTTTTTGTTTGTTTGTTTTGTTTTCAAATGAAGTGCTAGCAGTCTGCTAGTGCATTCTCATGGTTACCCATATGCATCTCCTTCATGTGCCCAAAGCTCTGACTGGTTATCCACAGTTCACTGGCAGAGAATAAGAGTAATGTTCGGATATCCTGAGTAATTAAACAAGTGAGAACACAACTGTAGCACATATTTCCAGTGTCACTGTGGCCACTTCAGTTAAGGCAAACAGGACATTTAGAGTGGCGCCCTTATGTAGATTAACTCTGTGGAATATGTCTATCTTAGTATTTTATTTTATATCAGCAAGATCGAAGCATAAATGTGCAGTCAGTCATCATTAGTAGGAGGTCACCAACTTGCTGATTCCTTTTCCGGTCTGAGAATATTTTTTCAGCCCTTCCAAGAAGAAGGATTTGATTTGGCTGCAGCGATTGTATTTCTGTAGTCAGGAAGGTAAATAGGAACCTTTGGTTCAATCTTACAAAGGCTGTATCCAATTTGCAAAGTTCTTTGTCAAAGTTTTCCACCTTCAGAAATATATTTTCTACAGTGAACTTCCCCCCACCCCTGAAAAGATTTAGTTATGCTCAAGTCCATCTCTACCATTTACCTACTTTCAATTGACCTTTGTTCTCATAAATGTAAAAAGAAATGTTTACAGAGAAAATAAAATCTTTTTCAAGAGTACGCTGGGCAAATTCAGTCAAGCCAGTCAGTGTAATTGTTTATGTTCCATCTCTTTGCATATATGTTCTAAATGACATTTATTTTCTAAAAGTTTGCTGTGGAAATGATGCCACTGAGAATTTTTTGCACCATTTACTTAGTGTAGTGCCTAACGATGTGAAGCTAACATACACAGATATGACTCATGTGAATTAGTAGCATATACCATAATCCAACCTGTTCCTTGAAATCCCCAAAGACACCCAGTATACAAATGATGACATTTGTATACATGTTATAAATGTTAATCCATTTCTTACCAAGCAAATCGTCAAGCTACTGGTAATCACAGAACTATATACATGTAGTCTCCCACAGAGCTCATCCTCTAGACCAGCATGAAATTATGCATGAGTAGATACAGTAGGATTGAAGTTTTCATCAAGTAAACACCAGTAAGCATTGATCCTTGTGTGGTCATTCCTTCCTAGGTTTGTCAGTTACCTTTTCTGGTTAGTTTCAGCCTCTAAACATGAAAGAGCCTGAGGGAAAAGAGGCAGTGCTGTGATTCCTGTGTATGGATATGGGAAGAGGGATGACACTGCGAAATTTAGTCATTAAAAAATAATCTTCAAACCTGAAATAGATTTTTGAATGTTGAATCCCACTAAAACCATTTATAAACAGGGTCTGACTCCACTGATGTATTTTGTGTTGTCAGTAGTGCTGGTTCTGTTGCTTTTTTGGCTTCCACATTTTTCCATTTCAAGAAAAAATTGAAAGGTACACCTAATCTGCTTATTGATCCAGTAGAAATAAATTCATTTTGAAGATGCTGAATGACATCTACCTAACAGTTAAATTGAATTTTGTTTCTGGAAACATAGACTTGTTCAGGCATCACTTGTTTGAGTATGATATTATGAATAACTTCATTTTGATTCTTGCAGGAGAAAGTAGTGAAAATATTTTCAGTCCATGTTAAGACAGCCCTCTTTCCTATAGCTGCAAATACGTAAATAAAAATGTTTGTGCTGTGTAATGCTCCCACTTTTTTGGAAGGAG